AGCCGGGGTCCCCAAACTTGGCCACTTTAAGACTTGTGGACTTCAACTCCCAGAAAAGCTGGCTGGAGAATTCTGGGAGTTGAAGTCCACAAGTCTTAAAGTGGCCAAGTTGGAGACCTCTGGACCAGACCTACCCAATTCCTGCAATTATTCTTCACTTACAGAAGAAGGAAATGAGAAGCTGCCCACTGGGCCAATGGAGGGCCGCCAGGTTTGGGCACAGAATCCCATAGTCTTGAGGGATCTAGAATATCTCCAGAGGGGTTGATCCTGAGCCATCAAAGACAGTTGAGAGAGTTTCCTGGTTACTTCTTGATTGTTGGGAGCTTTACTGTAGAGAAGATGCTAAAGGCAAAAGGGAATCACTGGCTCCCTGCTTGTATCACATTGTCTGAATAGAGGCTCTTGCTTAGAAGAGGCATCCTGAAGGCCTGGAATCCTGAAGGCTGAGGATGGGGATGCATAATCCGAGGGGCATTGGTGTGGCTACTACACCGATAGCTGTTGGCACAAGAGGTCATACGTGTTCCAAGCATCTCGCGCCAAAATGCAACATGGGATCAGCTGCTGCAGATGTTGCCTTGACGGTTACAGTCTCGTTTGTGAAAGGGGGATCCTTAGCCAAGTGTGGGTGTGGATCTCTCTCTCTCTCTCTTTTACGTTTCTGGTAGAAGCTGCCTTTCACCATCCCAGAGCTGGTGCAGTCTTCTCCGTGCCGCAGCTCGGACGGCGTGATCTACACAGGTGCCGAGGGGAGGCGGGTGGAGGGGGAGAGGGAAAGGCTGGAGCCCATTTCCACTGGGAGGGATGATGGGGCGCCCGGGGACACACCTGTTTCCTTCTCCATTATCCAGGGAAAAAGGAGGACTCCTGGTTTCTGGTGGATCCGGCCTCAGGAGAGAAGCAGAGCGTGCTGTCGCCACAGGCCTGGGATGGGCTGCACCCCACAAGCCCCTGGCTGTTCATCGGACGCAGCAGTGAGCATCCCTTGAGCCTCCGTGCCTGAGGATATTTAGCTCAGAGGGGGGATTCAGCCGGTTCTGGCCAGTTCTGCAGAACTGGTAGCGGAAATTTTGAGTCGTTCGGAGATCTGGCTAATCTCATCTCTGACTGGCCCCGCCAACCCCCTCTATTCTCCGCCTCCCATTGAGTCCCAGCTGATCGGCTGGGTCTTCTTTGGTTGCCCTGCACAGGAGAGCGGAGCTGGAAAGCAGGTTAGTGGGGTGAGGAGGGAAGGGGGATTTTGCAGTATATCCTTCCCCTGCCACGCCCACCAAGCTACACCCACAGAAATGGTAGTAATTTTTTTTTTAATCCCACCACTGGTTTAGGCCAATCCCAGCCGGTAGAAGAAGAAGAAAGAAAGAGAGGGAGGGGGAGGGGGAGGGAGAGGGAGGGTAAATCAACCTTGCTCTCCTCTGCAGAGTATGTCATCACCATGTACGACACCAAGACCCGGGAGCTGCAGTGGAATGCCACCTACCTGGACTACTCCGCTCCTGTCCGTGAGCGGGACTTGGACTCTAGTGAGTAACTGGGCAGAGCAAGCTGGCAGCCAGGATTCCGCTCTCTATGCCCCCTTCTTCCCTTCCTCAAGGGAATGGGGCAAGTAGCTGAAGTCTGGGAAGGAAGGGGGGCAGGCGGAGCTTTCTCACCCACTCCCCTAGTGCCAATTTTGGGGGGTGCACATATTTTGTTAAAGGTTAGGCTCTCCCTGCAAAAGCTGTGGGTTTCGTCAGCCAGTCCGTGTGATGTAAGCTTATTTTTAAACATGGGTGATCTTTTCACATCTGGAAACTGATATCCCAGCTTCTGCTCAGCCCTAGAGTCAGCCTAGGCCAGGGGCCTCCAACATTGGCAACATTAAGGCTGGCGGAAGTCAACTCCCAGAATTCTGGGAGTTGACATCCACCCGTGTTCTGACCCAAACCTTGTTCCAAGGAAACAAACACCAAACGGAGGTAACAGCAAAACCTTTTAATGATTCTTGACTAATTCCGTTCCTTCCCGGTTAAAAGGCTGTTTCAAACTAATTACCTCTGATAAGAACGAGCCTTGCCAAGGTGGTGCAAGGCTGCCAAGAACAACAGATAAAGTTGCCAAGAACTAGTTCCAACACAAAGAGTCTCCAAACACAAACTAAGAGAGTCCGAACATCCACAAGGCTTGAGTGCAAAAGCTTCTTTGCTTCCTGCAAAGAACTCCGGTTTCTCAGCTGGCTTTTATCTCTTAAGGGAGGGGCCATCACTTTGCAGGCTTATTCCCGAGTCGCCCGTGCTGCTGCAGCTGCTCTTTCCTTCGAGCAGCCCTGCACGCACGCACACTGGGCACAGGCTCCTCGGGAACCTCCTCATCGCTGCTGCCAGCCTCCAAAGGCAGCCTTCCACTCCCTGATGGTCCTGGCCCCATCCCTGCATCACACGCAGGCCCTCACCTGAGTCCTCGTTCTCCGAGACCTCAGCCGTCTGCACCTGCTGCTGGCCAACCACAACAGCCAGCCTTAACATTGCCAAGGTTGGAAACCCCTGGCCTAGGCTGCTGAGCTTGATAGATCCCATCAAAGACGGAGACCAGCTCTAGGATTTAGTGGTGCAACTGACCCTGTGATTGGCACTTGGCTGGCACTCCACTCAAGGATAGCAAAGCCTCTGCTGCTGTGCCCAGCGCCTGTCTTTCCCTCCACCCCCTCCTCCCCTGGGCACAGACATGGCCCATTTTGCCTCAAGCGGAGATGGTTGGCTGGTGACGGCGGGCAAGGAGAGTGGAGAGGTGCTCTGGGTGCAGGACTATGGATCCCCCGTGGTGGGCGTCTACAGCTGGCACCAGGACAGCCTGCGTCGGGCACCCCACCTCAGCGTAGCCATGGAGAGCCTGCGCTACCTTATCCTGCATGCTCAGAAGATCCCCCTCCTCAACTGGACCTTCCGGACTGGCAAGGGCTTTGCAGCCAAGACCCCTTTGCTGTAAGTGACAAGAGCTTTGGGGGCACCTCTGGGCCCCATGGGTGACTTCTGGGAAAGCAGTTCTGCCCCCAAATCAGGGGCGGCGTAGATGCCTTTGTGGGGAGCCTAAGCGGGGGAAACAGAGATCCAGAAAGCAGTTGAGCTTAGGGATTTTGTTGGCTACCCTGTCCCTTAAGAGCTGGCATAGACCTTAAAGGGCCATGAAGAGATTAAAGGCAGCTTCAGTTCCTTCCACAATGTGGTCCCTGCACTGGAGAAAGCGGGTTGTGCACGGTGGAGCCATCTGTGAACCCGGATTTGGGGGTTGAATCCATTTATATCCCGCTTTTATTTTGCGCACGGAGGGTGCACCAATCCTCATTCCTCCCGCTTTCCCGAAAGACCACCCTGGGTGGTGGGTTGAACACTGTTGCATTAGACTGTCACTGCCTAGCCCAGAGGTCCCCAAACTTGGCAACTTTAACACTTGTGGACTTCAACTCTCAGAATTCTCCAGCCAGTGGAAGTCCACAAGTCTTAAAGTTGCCAAGTTTGGGGACCCCTGGCCTAACCAGAGCTCAATCGCCAGGAGCTCGGTGCCTTCTGATTCCCCCAGAATCTGCAAGGCAGCTCTCTGTGCCACAGAGGGGCTTCCTCACCCTTCCTGGCCCCCCCTTTTGTTTCAGCACAACCCTGTATGTGGGCAAGCATGCTGGGGGTTTCTATGCGTTGACATCCTTGGTGCATGAAGGCATGGCCCTGGTGGTGAGTTTTCCCTTGGTTGGGGGAGGCACAGGATGGGTAGGAATGGGTAGATGGGTGGGGGCCCTTCTGCTCACCGGGCTGTCTCTACCTCCTGCAGCCCCAGGGGGTGGCTCTGGCCCAGGGCAGCGGTCCCATCACACGTGGGGTGACGCTCCAAAGGTCTGGTGAGTGCAAGATCACACCCAGCACGGGCATCCAGTACCCGCCGGGCACCATCTTCCTCCCACACAGCCAGTGGCTGCTGATCGGTGAGTGCCTGGGCTCTGGGGCCCACCCTGAGAGGCAGCCCCCTTTCCCCCCAGAAGTTGCCTTGAAGAGTCCCTGAATGGTGGGGGAAGAAATCCCCCCCCCC